ATCCGATTTCTGTGGATAGACGCACTGTGTATAGTTCAGCCTGATGCCTGCGGCGACGAAAAAGATTGGAACGCGGAAGGGCCTCGCATGGGTACCATATATCACAACGCCATATGCACTATCGCTGCCACTTCAGCCCACAATGCGACCAACGGTTTCCTTTTGAAAACGGGCAGTGAGCGGATTCGTGCCATTCCGTGCGAGGTCGTTCAGCATATGGATAATGGAGAAACGCGTACTCGCTGGTTGCAAACGTGTTTCACCGATTTCGACCGCGCGGTCACTTCTTCAGCTCTGAACAAGCGCGGGTGGGTCACTCAAGAGCAGTTTCTTTCACAACGTGTACTTCACTTCACGCTGCAAGGCGTAATTCTGGATTGTCGGAGTACCCTGAGACATGGCCACAGCTCCGTACTTGATGTATTCAGGAATCGTTCTCGCTCTCGGGACGTCCGTGAGTTGGTATTTGGCAAAATTAACCGATCTTGGACGGAATGGATGGAAGTCGTCGAACATTACTCAAAAACTGAGTTCACTAATCCTGGAGATCGGCTAGTTGCCCTATCATCGTTGGTCAGAGCCTTTGATCGTACTCTCGATCATGCCGAATTTTACTGCGCTGGTCACTGGAACCGTACCCTGCTATTTGATCTCGTGTGGATGAGGTCGTGCCTTCCAACCTCAGAAACGCCCAAACGCCTGAATATCGCTCCCACCTGGAGCTGGGCTTCTATTCAAGGAGAGATGTGGTTCCGGAGCGCGGACATACGAAACCGCAAGATGCTACTTGCGACCTCTTCAGCAGATGTATTGGATATCAAACTGGTTCCTTCCCAAAGTGACAATCCATATGGTAACATCAGAGAAGGAAGGATAAGGCTTGTTGCTCAAGTTGCAACTGTCTATATAGGGACTAAAAATGCAAGAATAGAAAATTCATTGACTGAAGATGGAGGGACGAAAGAAGCGCTTCATCTCCGGATTGAGAATCAAGGGAGCCAGTGGTACTCCGAGATATCCCGCTGGATTCATTGGGATGAATGGTATGGGAACAGGACAGAGGAGAAAGAGTACAAGGTTGTTCATTTTCAAACCATGCACTGGAGAGATGACAACTGGGGCGTCATTTTTGAATGGAATGCGCTCATTGTAGAGCAAGTACACGGGACGGAAAGTGAACCTACAGTGGGCGGTCGTATTCGCACATACCGCAGGATTGGTGTTTTGCGAGATATCCACTATACCAAGGATCACGAACGTCTGCTTGCTGAGGCGCCGACATACAACTACGGCAAAAGTGAGTTTAGCACGGAAACATTAGTGTTGGTATAGTGTAAGAGGAGAGTCGCTCGCTATGAATGGCAATTTTTGACAGACGCCTCTTTGCCTCTGGCGACATCTCATCTATATATGATTCCTCGTGGAACGTGTTTCACAGCCGACAACAGAAAAGGAGCTCACGACAGTATGCCTTGGCAGTGTGTTCGAGTACCGATGCACGAGATAGTAACTCATTTTGCGCAATGGGGCTAGCATTAGGCTAAAATATAAAATGAAACCAAAATATCGTAACTACGAGTTCAAAGTCGTTTGGGCTTCTAAAACAACATACTACAGACTCTTCGGCAGAATAATGGGTGTTGCTCGAGTAGCTACAACCAAGATCACAGACAAGACGATATCACTGCTTCCACCGAACCAAGCCCGTGCAACATATGAGAGCCTGTCTGCACTCCATGCAGTCCGCCGACCTCCTAGTGGTGAGAGGAGAGTGGCTCCGGGTCAGCAAGGATCAACAGAGAGTACAAGGCTATGTTCGAAAGAGCTCGTAAGGTAGTCATCTACGAATGAGTGTGTCCGCTCTCCACACGGATAGATATGTGCCGAACTTGTTCGATGTGATCTACATCGATGTGATGATAGAGTTTGAGCTAATGCATATCTCGATATGTAATCACTCGTGGAATGCACCAGACTACCTATCGGATCGGGTCGACCCGAACGAGATCGCAATAAGACCGGCATGGCATTCCAAGATACGGACCATATGTCTCTGTATAGACTGTGGTCTCACCGGTAGTGGACGTGATTGCTTTCTTGCCTGACTGACTTCCGGGTGTTCCCGTCGAAATGAGGCCAAGACGTTGCTGTAACTCTCCATTCCGGCGGAGAGGGCAGATCATGCACAACAGAAAGTTGCCAGTGGCACACGTTGCTGCGCCAAGGTGATCTACCCATCTTGGCGCGCCATTTCCGCGCTGTTGTACCACCCGAAGCATGTATCAGAGAAGGTCAGGAGGTGTCCGAGATGCTGCCGTGTGTGAGCTTGTCCAGTCTCGACGAAACCTTGATGGTAACAAGCACAGAGTCTTGTTAGCGGAAGCTTCTCTGCACCCTAGCACATCGTCAACGAGGCTGGTACCTGGGGGACAGTGGAATGTTGGGTCTTAGGCACTGGTCTAGTCGGGGCAATGCATGCAGTGCAAAGATAGTGGATGTCTTGTAGGCCACCGGAACGTCACTATATGTAGATGAATTGTTGAGCTTTGGAGCGGTGTTCACATTGCCTACCGCTGGGTTCGTTAGTCTCGTGCCTGTGGTTGTGTTGTGCTGCCTGCCAAGTGGCGGACGTTTCCTCCGTGTTAAGAATTCGTGAACGGCAATAGCGACGGGAAGTAAATCCCACCCGACGCACATATCGTCAATCTCGTGTAGATTGGCTGTCTGAATGATGAGCGGCACATGAACGAGTGCCAAGCGCGGAAAGCAATCCCTCCATGGTGCCAAGAGGCAGGCAATAAAAGCAAGTCGTCAAGAGTATTGCCAAGACTGGTGATCCGGCGGCGTGGAGGTAGTGGAACGCAAAGCAACGGCGGTCTCGGGGGACGTTTGTTTGGTACAGTGATCCGCGCAACTCGGTCCGTTGTACGGAGAATTAATGAAATGCGATCGACAACGCATCGAGTGCTGTCACTCTGTGTGTACAGCATAGAGAGTTTGTCCGGTCAAGAGTGAGTGCTGGGTCGTGACTTCCTTCCGAATTCGCCTACCCCACAAAAAGCACGAGCCGCACGTACATGGAGAAATAACGCATTCCGCTGCAAGACGTGTTGAACGCTCTGCGGTCGGAAGAAGAAACAACGACTACTGCAGGTGCAAGTGGGTGACAGTGGGGACATAACGGGATAGGAAACCAGTCGCTTGACTCCAAGTCTCAGCGGGACTCACCGCCAGAGTTGCGCGACGACGTCAGAGCACGTATGTACTGGCCAGGTTGCATCTGTCAGCTGTGCAAGTGAATGAGGCGAAGAGAGCCCGCTGCGTGGGAGGAGCAGGCCAACTCGTCCAATGGCGGTCGTTGACGCGAATCTTTTGCAAAGCAAAACCAAGCTGGGTCGCCGAACGTTTGGAGTGCGGTAGACGCATGTGTGCAACGCGATCAGGGTGCACATGGTCGCGATCGGGAGCCGTCTCAGCACGAGTCCCTGTCCAGAGCACTGCAGATGCTTGCAGATTGCATGAGGTGATACGAACCCCGCATTCAGTCTGGACAGTACTGGGGCCGATGGGCTCAGCGACGAGGGAACAAGTTATGCACGTAATTAAGCAACCTCGAGACCTTGGTGTCGTACTATACAGCTTGTGCCGGGAAGCAGAGAGGCGTGGTTCAGCTGGCGTTCCAACAGGCAATAGCGATGGCGGGGAAATGGCGTTGCAGCGGCTGGTGACCCCCACGATGTTCGCCTGTCGCGTTCGGCGGCAAAGGGCCGCCTAAGCTTTGGATTGACAGCGCCCTGAGCTGGGATCGAAGGGCAGCACCACGCTGGACTGTCGTCAGTTGACGTCGAGAGCTGCACGAGCAGCACATCTGCAACAGGAGCGAATATCGGTTCGGCGGACGCAGGACGTAGGGGCGCTCACGGCGTACGGACGACGGCATGCTGTCCTGGAAGCACATTGATGACTGCAGCAGCTCAGACCACATCCAAAGGCAGCTGCGGCATTTTCCCTCCAGACAGGCCAGACAAGGGAGACAAGGCCAGCATGATGCCCTCGTCTCTCCAGGGCCGTCGTGTGCATGGCGGAGGGTGCGAGGATGCGCTGCTGAATCCAGGCTGGCCGCCGCCAGTGGATGGGTGTCCAATGGTTCTGTTAGTAAAGGCAAGTGTGCATCCTGGCGGAAGGGCGGGTTGGTGCTAGAGGAGAGGCTCGTTTGGCCATGGTGGAGATGAAAGGGAAGGCCGTAAGCGGACAAGCCGGGCGGTCAAGCTTTGCAGACATCGATCATCGACGCACATCATCCATCACACGGCGCTGCTGTGTGGGCGCAAGGTCCGGGTCCTGGGGGAGAGTGCACGGTGGACGAGAGTTACTGGGCGGCCTTCGCAAGACGTGCATCCGGGCTGCAGGTGGCCTTTGGCGCTGTGGGGGTCGCGCAGGGGGACTGGGCCGGGGGTGTTTTGGCGTCAAATCAAGAGAGTTTAGTCTCTCTGCGACTTCTGGAGCCCACATATCATCGCGCAAGGCCCCGGGCGCCGCTTCTCCTACATTCTGGGACGATTGCCGCCTTTGCGTGCAGTTGGACTGATTGATATTCCAACGTCACGAGAGCAAGGCGGATAGATAGGGACGTCATCTCCCTGCCGCTGCCCGCCTGCATCTGGACCCTCGCCATCCACCCCTCGGCCGCTGCAAACCTCACTCGCGTGTCGTCGGTGCCATTCCGACGCAACTTAACTTTTCTTCCCCAGTCACCCTTCCTACGTTGTGTATATGGCTCTGTCACAATTGCAACACTTCTACCACACCCCGCTCCTGCTGCCCACCCTACACCTGCACTCGTGCAGTACGCTTGAAGGCTCGTATAACTGTCCGAGCCCCCTCCAGCGTCCGTAGCGACAAGCCCCAGCACCTCGCCGTATTCGCGTATTGGCAACTTTCACCCTCACCAGCGCTCGGTCGTTTGCCAGCCAATCGGAGCACAGCAGCGCCCCATCACCATGCCGATGGTCGCTGAACAACCACGGCAACTGTCAATTTCCTTCGATGAGCGAACCCTCTCCGACCGACTTCGGCACCGCGATTCACGCCCGCTCGACCACCGCTTTGCTATTGAAGAGGAGGATGAGAGTACTGGCACCGCAAGCGAGCCCGCCGAGCCTCTTACACCCACCAGCCATACCAGCGAGGGCACGCCCTTTTCACATCCTTTCCGTGACGATGACTCCGTAGACGACGTATTCGCAACCCCACGCCCTGTCACGAGCGATATGCCCAACAAGTCACCGCTGCAAGAGGCGCCGCAAGATATCGAGAGCCAACAAGATGTCCAGCCGCCTCAGCAGGCCGAGCGCCAGTCACCACCGGAGAAGCGCGGTCTGGGAAAGCGCGTGGGCTCGCTGATCCGCGGCAAACTGCACAGAGGACATTCGAGCAAAGATGGAACCAATCAGTCCGACACTTCCAACATCTCGACGCCGAACAGATCGCCCAAAGCAAAGGCCGAGACCAACACATATATTGTCAAGACTGGTGTAGATGGGCCCGCTGAGGTAGCAACTCCGGCAGTCGACATCCCCAAGCAAAGCAGAAGACTGAGCTCCTTCTCCCTGACGCGACGCTCTGACAAATCCTCCCGCGCAAACTCTCCACCCCTGTCTGGATCGCCTATGAGCAGGCTATCGACGGACAGACGACCAGGAATTGGCACCAAACCCGCTTCTTCCACGGGCCTGGCAAGCATGAGCCGACCGCGGCCTGGTATCACCTGGGCGGGTAGTGGAAACGTTAGCTCTACTAAGAAAGTCGGCTTTTCACGCCGACGGTCCGCAAGCACAGAGCAGGTCCCACGCATCAACGAGAGTGCAGAGAAGCCTACCGCTGGCATGTTGGCTACCTTTTCCAAGCCAGCTGTCCAAGGTGTGGGTATGAAGGCACGGCGACTTAGTGTGAACCTACCGGACGACTTCATCATCGACTGGTGTGAGCTAGATAAGGAGTTCAAGAGTTCGAGTTTGATGCCTGGTAAGAGAGGAAAGATTCTAGGTAAAGGCGCAACATCTGAAGTCCGGATCATGGCGCGAAGAGGAGGCATCACACGAGAAGAAGACCTGGTAGCTGTCAAAGAATTTAGAGAACGCGACAAGGACGAGACTGAGGAGGACTACGTACTGAAGATCAAGTCCGAGTACAGCATTGCGAAGAGCCTGCATCATCCGAACATTGTCGAAACAGTACGGTTGTGTACGAACCGCGGCCGCTGGAACCACGTCATGGAGTTTTGTACATATGGAGAGATCTATTCGTTAGTAGAACGGAAGTTGTTCGCTGGCGGCGCGGAAGGGTTTTACAGTCGGGATGATCGGTTGTGCTTCTTCAAACAATTACTGCGCGGCGTGAGCTACTTGCATAGCCATGGCATCGCTCATCGAGACATCAAGCTGGAGAACTTGCTCCTCAGCAAAGACGGTCATCTCAAGATCTCGGACTTTGGCGTAGCGGAAGTGTTCACTGGCGAGCATCCTGGACTTCGCGCGTCTGGCGGCGAGTGTGGAAAGAACATGGGCGAGATTCGGTTATCCGAGCCTGGAATTTGCGGCAGTCTTCCCTACATCGCTCCGGAAGTTCTTGCAAAGGATCACAGCTACGACCCACGTCCGCTGGATATCTGGTCCACCGCCATCGTCTACCTAACTATGACCTTTGGCGGCTGCCCGTGGCAAGCTGCGAAGCCCGAATTCGAGTACTACGCCAGGTTTAAGAAGGGTTGGGATTCTTGGCTGGAACGCCATCCCGACGGTGACATCTTTGATGGTGTCGATGGCCACCCTAAGTGTGGCAAGCTGTTCAGTCTCATCGAGCCCCCGTCCATCAAACGCCTCATGCTAAAGATGCTTCATCCTATACCCTCGAAACGCATAACCATCGGCGAGGTTCTAAAAACAAGCTGCATCAAGAACATTGGCTGCTGCTGTCCAGAGACGTACGACGACCCCAAAATCATGTTCGACGCTTCCAAGTCCTCGAGTGCTAGGACTGCCGCCCCAAAGAAGTTTTTGCATCATCACATTCCGCCCAAGCCGGAGAACAAGGTTGGGAAGGCATTCACACATAGGTTCGATATGGGCGAACGATAATCACGACTGTATATTTTGACGACCATTGTTTTCACGACCACTGCATTACGGCGCTTGAAGGTCGAGCATAGCGGGTCAAAAGGAGGTTTTTGTCCCGTTCCCAATCTGGAGGCATTATTGTATTTTGTTTTACTAGCACATTTGTCCCATCAGCATTCTGCGAATGCCACTTCAAACGACACATATACCACATCGACGTCTTGTCTCGTCCCACCTTCCCTTTCTGTCTCTCGCTACTTTCCCTGTCCAACACACGTGTATGCGCGTCCCATGCGATTGGCAGCCCTGCAGAAAGTACAAACGCGGCAATTGCCTTGACGCGCGGAGATCACCAAGCAGCAGCTCCACTTGGTCTCGGAGGAATTATGATTGCGCAACTCGCGAGCTAGCGAATAGCTTACGCTGATCTTCCGCTGTTATCGGAAAACTGTATCTGTCTGACGTATCTCCAGAATTTCGTCATTTTCGACTTCGCTGATATGGGTTATCGAATCCCGCTCTTACGATGCATGCCGACGGCAGCAAGCAAGTTTGTAATGACCCGCTTGTCCGACGTGGCGCCGAGATACTTGGTCCGCTAGGGACAGAGGTCTACAGGCTTGGCGATGAAGGAATGTAAGCGCGCGAAAATGAGCTGGTTCTGCGTTTGCGAACTGGAGGGTAGTATGGAAGATTCCGGGTACTGCGCCCGCTATGTTGCGCATGCGCGATGCTGCAGGTCATCAGAAGCATGGAGAGAAGGATCAAATCGTGGCGCAAACCAGTCCAACACGAACTCCAACAAAGCGCGAAGCAACCATCTCAACAAACACGTGGGGAGTATGATACGCCCACAACATACGATCGAGCTTGAATCAGACAAAGCATTGGCGCAGCGTACTAGCGGTCGGCGCTGGGCAGTTTCCACACATGCTTCTCGAATGCGGGGCATGTGTGAAGTCATCGCACAGCACCCTGTCAAACAACCGCCGAGTGTCTTTTAAGCCGCTGATGGAGTGGTACCGAGATACTGTCGTGTCATCGTCAGCATGTTGGTTCGACTAATGAGTCGACGATAGACATGTCTCATGCTGGTTAGGATACTTCGGCTTTTGAGCTCTTGTAGGAATAGCGGGGTAACGCCTTGCTGTAGGTGTGTTGTTTTGCGCAGCTCAGCTTGATGTTGTCACACGACTATGAGCTGAGTAACGAGTGTGGGAGCGGTGGAGCAGATGATTTGTCTTTGACGATTTTGACGAGGCTGAAATGCGGAGCGTGGCTGCAAGGGAATTGGAAACAAGCATGTCGCGTTTTGTTCTTGCCTACTTTCCGCACCCTCTTACATAGGATTGTCGACTAAACGTAAGGCATTCCCTTCGCATCACATTTGTAGTCAAGCTTAATTAGTATTCTCAAATGTCTGAAAGGTAAATATCTCATCCATCAGGCTTAATCGCCCATACACAAGATAACACATCAAAACGCAAACCTTCCAACCACATCAATAAACGAAATTCTCCCTCACGCACTCCATCCCTCCCTTCACTCCTCAATTCCCTACCCAACCACCATACAAACCCCCTTCTCAAAACCCTTCCCCTCCCCATGACCTTCCACCGATATCCACCTCCACACTTCCCCACATGCTGCAATGCACACCCACCCCTGTCTCATCACCCTCACCAAAAACGCGGTGTGATGACTCATGCTGCATCGCAGGAGGTGCTCTTTTCTGTTTTTGCCTGTTCTCATGCATTAAGACTTATGCTTAGCATGGCTTATCACGCACAAGACGACGCAAGGCGAATGCTTAGCCTGTGACATGTCTGAGGGGAGGGGCTGAGACGTGTGGTGTGTGGGCGGCGTGGGGGTGGGTGAAGGGTTCATTGGCGACGGAGGGGAGTGCCGGGTGAGCGTGCATTGGAGGAGAAGGGGAGGGGTGTTGCATGGGTGTTTTGTAGATATAGATTATAATGTTCGGTATGGGGAACTAGGTTGGGCTTGTTAGGGGATTGGTATGTGCGGATTACTTGATCTCCCTGGACACCGTTCTGGATTATGGATAGTCGTAAACCAATTGACTTCGCGAAATCTATCCCATTCTATACATCGCGTTTTCTCTTCCCTTACAAGACCTGCGCCTACTTGCTACCACCACAGCCACAGTGCGATAAGTCGCTCACCACATCTCCCATACACCATCCGGCAAAACCGTCCTCATAATCCTCCAATGGCTAACCGCACCATCCTCGTGAAACTTCTCCAACTCACCCACATCCGCATTTCCCATGACCCTGCCTCCATTCTCCTTGCTCACAAAATCGTAGTTGACTTCCAACTTTTCTTGCGGCTGCAAGAAGTTCCTCCTCGCAATACTACCCAGATAGTCCTTCTGAACCGTATCGCGGAAGTTGACAGCCGCTTTACCCAAACCATGGTCGTTCTTGACGCAGAAAATGACCATGTTGATGAAATCAGCTTCACCTTCCTTGTGTTCTGTCTGAGGCGGAGAGTCGCGGAAGAGGCGACAGGCGGGGAAGATGGCGTGGATGGTGTTCAGCACTAGTCTCGTTGAACCCAGGGTAAGGTCTCCGGCGTAATTGATTGCGACGAAACCTTCTGGCTTCAACAGGTCGTAGAGGCCTTGCATGAATTCTGTCGTGAAGAGGTATACGGGTTCTGCGCCGCCAGTGAAGACGTCGTGGATGATGTAGTCGAAGCTGCCGGGTGCTGAGACGGACTTTTGTGCTACGTAGGCGGTCGCGTCGTCGATGACGGCTGTGTGGTTGGGGTCTAGCGCGAAGTACTTCGTTGCGTAGTAGTGGACTACGGGATCGAGTTCGACAATTGTCGTGTTAATACCGTGCGCGATCATGGCGTTTGGTGCTGTGCCAATACCGAGACCGATCACTAAGGCGGATTTCTCGCTGTCGTCTACGACTGGCAGGGTGTCGACTGGGGGTTCCATGAGGCGGACGGCTTCGAGGAGTACAAAGACGGCGAAGATGGACTCGCGTTGGCGTTGGCCTTTAGCATAGGCTTGGGGTGTCACGAGCCACTCGCCTCCAAGGAGGGAGTGGTCGCATCGAAGAAGACGGAAGGCATTGTCGGCGTGGTTCTCGATCACAGATACATATCCCGTGACGGACTCGTGACGGGCGAGGAGCGTGTAGTTTTGCGTGGCCTGCAAGGTGGAGTTTGCCAATTGAAGACCGTGGGTCGAGGGATGATGAGGGTTCGTCCAGAGCGTGTGTAGGATTGCCGGAAACGCGAGGAGGATGACACGTGATGGGCTGAAGAATGCAGATGCCGAAGCAAGCAGCATCTGCATACCCACGCGCGTGAAGTAGACGGATGTACCGATGAAGCCGGGGATAAGAGCGCTGCTAATCTTGGCTACGGTCGATACGGTGAAGTAGGATGCAGTGGGGATAGCGATTTCCTTCAATGGCGAAGGGTTTATTCCGGTAATGTCGATGCATTCCAGTAGATCGGCGGCAGCAAAAACTGACAAAAACAGCAAAGGGAAGTAGGTAAGAGACTCGATAAGCAGAGGTCCGTATTCTACCCCAATCTTTCCGCTGTATGGAAATAGTAGGAACTGGATGACGGGCGTCCAGTACGCGACTACAGCGATGTACTGTGCCAAATTCGCAGATACGTAGCTCTTCAATGCCCGTCGCGTTAAGAGTGCTGCAACAGCGGTGATAGTCATGGTCCGTTGATGGTGCAGCGATGCTGGGATCGATCCATAGATAGGAGACAGGTTCAGTTGTGAGACTGGAGATGCAAAACCTGCGACAAGCAGGAGTGCTGCTGCTCTACCAACGTTCAGAAGAATAGTCGATGCTGGGGCATTTTGCGCCTGGGTTTCCGCGTCTTTCGCTGCCTTTGGCTTCTTCGGTGTCTTCTGTTTCGGCGACATGATGTAGAATTCCCGTTCTATCTCTTTCTATCAACCCAAATCGAAATGTTCTTGCTCAAGTTGCTGTGATACCTCTCGCGCGAAAAGAAGATGGCGAGATATGCGAAGCGTTGAAAAGACCAGATATCGCGTAAACGGTCCAAGGAATCCCAAGTTCTTCAAGCACTCTATACGGACCGTATATCCGCGATAGTGTAGTCGGCCCGCGAACAACGATAGAGAGCAGCAAGCAAAGTGCAAAAGAAGGGTATAAGGCAGGAAAAGGAAAGGAAGAGACGTTGAAATTAAAAACCAAGAAGGCCAGCTGTTCCTGGCTGAATGGGATGATGCACGGGTGAAACGGGCGATCATTAAGGTGGAGTTCGTTTCGACTGGGCGCGTTTCGCACTAGAGTGTGGCGCCCAGCACGGCGTGTGGCGTCATTACCAAGCATAGCGATTGACCATCACTTCTACCACAGCGACTGCAGTGAGAGGATTTCTGGAGTCTGAATCCTCTTAGCATGCCATACCTGACCGGATCACCCAGGATGGCGCCAGGTCTCGCCCTACGACCAGCCAACGCGCCGGATGCAGCCAAGGACCCCGCGACCCCCAATGGCCATGGCAACGGCGACGCATCAGCCCCTACAACCGAAGACGTGGAAATGGACGATGAGATAGACGAATCTCTACTCCGCGACCAACTCCGCCAGAACCAAGATGAACGCGCACAACGACTCCAGGCTAAGAACCGGCGCAAGCGCTACCTCGAAGTGCATCCCGAATACTTCTCCGACTCGTCCCTCGAGCTCGCTGATCCACTCCTCTACGACCGTCTCATACGCCGCTTCCAAACTGCATCCGAGCGCGAAGCCGAAGGCCGCAAGAAGGGCTTCTCGGGCCAGATGGCTACCGATCTGTGGCGCGCCGAAGCGAAGAAAGACGCGCTGTCGCAACCCGACCCGAATTCGCTCTTCACATATAACCGCGGGCCTCAGGGTCAGATAATGGAGGAGGAAAAAGACGATGTGCCCATGACGAAGGAAGAAGGGAGAGCGTGGTGGATCGACGAGATGACACAACGCTTCCTGAGAGGTGGAGATGATGATTTTGAG